GGAATGTGTGTATTTCTCATAAATATTGGAATAAGTAATTTTTCTCTGCTGTCAATGTGCTTAATGTGCTGGAATCTGTGAGTATGTATCATAACCTTTCGAGACCAAAATGGCAAGTAGCATTTAGAATTGGCAACGTCAACTATTGATACCATCCGAGGTAGAAATCCTTCTGGTGGTTTCTGAAGACATACAGGTCTGTATGTTTTTATTAGATATGATAGTCTTTGATTAATCATGGTTTATTCTGAGTGACAGTCTCTTTCTACCTGGCAATAACTGTTTTTGCAATACGACACTTAAAGCTCATATATAAAAGATTCCTGATAGAGCTGCCATAAAGAATATTTGCCCTTGTTGAAAGGATCTTAGATTTAAGACCTAAAAGATGTGATTCATCTGTCCCAATATAGACTGGATAACACTACTGCTAAATCACCATTAACTTAATTTTCAGTAACTAGAGGGAAATAAGTACTTGACCTACTTAGGGTCTACCTATTTTTGGTCTAAACTAGATCAAGTGAATTATGTCCTAGAAATGGCTGTTTTCTTTTATTTACGGCAGTGGCACTAGGAGGTACCATCTACCTGTTGGTGAGTCCAAAACTGGTGAAGTATGATGTGTGTTTCAGACACGTTATAATTCTCCTCTTCCACGAGATGTTCATGGAAATATTGTTGCATATCTTCCTTCTCTTACTGCATCAGGCTTGTGGTTCATATGAGCTTACAGATTGCTCATGTCTCGGGACTCAAGTCTGCTGAGTCACATATTCACTGAGCTGGCAAAAGGAGATTCCCATCCCTAAGCTCCTGATCAGCTCAGTCTCCAGACGTTCTAGCAGCCCACCAAGCGCCCGAATTCCCTGCGGTATCGGTCATCCAGTTATGTCCTGTTGGACTGAACACACTAGAATTTCAGTGCAGGAATGGCCCTCGCCTACCCGCCTGAGGGTCTGCACATGATACGTGCTGGAATAGGTGGCCTTAGTGTGAGGGAAGCTGCCTGTGGAAAAGTTCACTCCTTGGATGTTACCAGCTCTGCTTTGCCGGTCTTTGACGTGTTGCGCTTAAAGGAAAAAACAGATGGTATATGAATTCTTGTGATTTCTTGAAATCACTCTATCCTTGTTCCACGGATTGGTTTAGTCTTCCCAGAGTTTTGGGCTGTGTCTGCCCAGCCCGCCGTCTGGGAAACTGGCAAGATCAGCTCTGACAAGATGGATCCAGATGCTGTCAGCTTCATCACCAATGCTGGGCTTCTTGAATCTGAAAATCCTAAACCTGTAAAACTCAACCTGTATGCTTTGCTCCATCGCTGTGTATGGAACTACGGGTTCGTGATGCTCTGAATATTATTTGCTGTCCGAGTTTATTAATCCCCTAGCAGCAGTTAGATTGATCCAGGATCCCTTCTCTTCCATTTGTGTGGAAGATAGCAGCTGGCTGATACTGAGCCTGCTCTGTCTGCTCTCGCTGCTGCCCATGGGGAAGAAGCTAGCTGCCTTCACTGCGGCATTCCAAGCTGGCTGACCTGCAGATAACGCACTTGAGTAGAACTTCTGTCTCTTGTCCTCCCAAGTTATGCTCTGCCTGGCGTGCAGATCATCTGCTTTGAAATCGCTGAGATTCCTAGAAGTTGCTTCTTTTTCTGTCATCGTTGCTGCCTCCGACTCAGTGTGATCCGAAACCAGAAATCGCTTTGAACGTGCTGTGGGACTCGGCAGTGCTGAGTCTGGCATTTTTCCCTCATCCAGGTCTCGTCCGTCTCCAGGTGGAGAATGTGGCTGTGTACCTGGCCAGCTCTCAGGGGAACGTTCTGTGAATCCATGTGCGCGGGGTGGAACTTGTGTGGCGCTCACAGATGGAGGAAAGCCGAGCCCCTTGTACTTGGTGGAAAAGGTGTCTCTCAGCCCTCGCTTCCTCACAGTTTAGGCCCGCAGAACCTACACGGTACGCCGCAAAAGAAAAAAATTGCAAGTTCCGTTTAAATAAATCCAGAAATAGCAATTCTACAAACAAAATTGATAATGGGGCGTTCTGGTTTCGCTGTGGTAGCTACTTAGAGGAGCTGCCCCTGTGGAAGTGTTACCCTATGGCTCAAGGTGCAGGCAAACCAGCCCTCTTGGTGCAGATTGTGCTGCCTCAGACGGTACGGGGTATCGCCTGGCTCGTGGACCACCCTCTCTAGGAGAGGTTCGTGGTAAACGTGATGCACCTCTTCTAAGTTTAGCTTGGACCGTTTAAGCAGATACATTCTACTAAAAATGAATTCTTTGCACAATTATCCACCTGTTACATCATTCACATCACACTGAAACTTCTTTACCATCTAGAAATACTCTTTTTTTTTTTTTCCCGTGGTACAAAACCACGAGAAACCAGCTGCTCCTAAAGTTCTTATTGCCAGTCTTGTTGGCTGAAAAAATGATTTTTATTCTAATTACTGTAATGATACGTTGCTGCTTCATCAAAACTGGCTTGAGTTTGAAGTCCACACCTTGTCTAAGGAGTTTAGTTCAGCAGTAACAAATGCTATGGCACTCTAACCTGACAAAGTTCAGCTCTTCTTTTCCTGTGCTTGTGGGAGTCTGGTTGTGCGGGTTCACATCTCCAAATGGGAAAGAGAGTCCGTGTTTTACTTCAAATATTTAATCCCTATCCAAAAAATGCTACTTGTTTCTCTTACCTCCTGGAGTCAATGTCGCGATGGCATCCCAGTAGAGTGTTATGTCTGCGATGAGGTCCCCATTGAAAGGCGTGTGGAACACTGCCTTTTAAAACCTTTGTTTTCTAAACAAGACTGTAATAATCAAGTTTTAATCTGGGACACTATTGCCCTCCTGGGACAAAACGTGCAGATGTACTGCACAAAATTCTAGGGCTTGACCTACAAAGTGACAAAATTAAATATTCTGAAGTAGACCGTCAGATTTGAAGTGAGAGAGTTGGCTGGGCTCCCTATCACGGTGTTCTCTTCACGGTACAAACAGTTGTTTCTTCTCTGTTGCTTTTCTCTTCTCGTCATCCAGTTGCAGAGACAGTTCTGAGAATTTTTCAGGAGTTGAGCTTCACTAAAGACAGTAATTCTCAAATGCTTTTAGAAAACTGAGGCTGAGAAGTAGGCACCTGCTTGTACAATAACTGTCTGCACAGCAATAATGACAGCTCTTTAAATTACAGTCCCTCTGTTTATAAGGATGCTTACTTAAGAAATTACAATTGTTATTCAAGGTGGCACAGATCAGATACTGTCCCAAGAAATAAAATGCCACGGTTCCAGTCACCTCTTTCGACTAAGGAATGCACGTAAGCCTAAATGTTACCTGGTATATGAAAATCAAGAGTGTGTTTAATTATGTAGCTCTCTGAAATACTAATTTTCTGACTAAATATCTGTAGTTTAGAGTATAAAATTCGAAACATCCTTTGCTACACTGAATTTGTGATTTCTAATTTTGCTTCAGGGTTTCTCAAACTTTGCCACATCATTTCACTCTGTAAAGGACACAGGGAAGAATACCTGGCAGCAAAAGGAAAGGGACGGCTTTGACTAAGAACCGAGTCATAAAAAAAAATTAAATTGCACAGAGGCTTTAGTGTGATTTTTTTGCTCTTGGGCTGGTTTTGAAGAGCCAGAGAAACAAAGCTTTTCATTGGCCACTGCCAGCCAGCGTCGAATGCAGGGGTTCCACTTCTGCATCGGAAGTCGGCAAACCACCAAGAGAGCGTGGAAAAGGGGACAGTGTTTAATTTTTAGTTCTGCTCCAACCTTTCCCTCAGAAAAACATCTCTCTCTGGAGAGTTCAGTGTCACAGTTTGAGAAATTCTGTTCTTCATGCGAGTCACTGGGGAAAAGGTGATGGTGTGCATGTCCTTAATGAGAATGCAGTCTGTCCATGTGCTTGAGTTCCAAATAACCTCCATTAGTTAAATCTGTTTACCTTTCATTTGACATTTCCAGACCTGGATGTCAGAGAAATCTCTGAATTCAACCCTGTGTATATCACAACTGTTTTGGCCAGGTTTAGGGGAGATTACCGCTAAGCTAAAAACTCTGCTTAGAGTTTTTAAAAACTCTGCACAGAGAACGTTACTGTGCTCTTCCATAGTAATTCCGGCAATTCTGTGTGGTCTGTTTCGGTTCAGGCTCCGGAACTGACTGGTGTTTGTAACCAGGGAGTGCTAAAAGAGAGGCTGGACTCCTGACAGCGGCGTCCTTCCTAGAGTTATTCTCACTTTCAGACAGAAAGGGGGAGTGAGGTCCTTCTCCAACCACACACTTTGGAAGAATATTAAAATTTGCAATAGCCTTTGTGGAAAAATGAGAGTAACTTCAGGTAGCTGTACAGTTTAGCTGATATTCAGGAGCAAATAGTTGAAATACTCTCTTAAATAATTAAATTATTTAGGAAACAAAATGTTCTCTTACGTAAGAATTAAAGAACGTCTCAAAATCAATTCAGTAATAACTTGAAGCTGCCTTTTCTTACAAGCCACCTATAAAACAGTGAGCATAAAGTAGTCCAGGGACTAGCCCATGGGGTTAGGAATTATCTAGTTCAGAAGTCCACCTTGTTTTTTCCTTATTATGTACACATTCCAGTTAATCAGCACATGTTAACTTTCTCAGAGGGGATGTGTGCGCTTTCAGTTAAATAGCTTTTTGGGGTTGTTTTCAGTCCCTACAGAAGGGTTCAGCTGCAAATAACATTTCTGTGGCATTTACAGTAATACCATTCTGGGCAACAGCGATTCCACGGCATTTTCCAGTTTGCAGTATGTCTGAATGCTGCTTGTTCCCTTTTTTAGTGGCATTCAGCCTATTCTGTAAATCTCTTAAGCGATGAACAAGAAAAATTACTTTTACTGTAAAACAAGCTATGAGTTCAAGCCTTCAGCTCTTCCCTTGTTTTTCTCAAGCCAGCAAATCCACAAAGGAGTAGAAATTCTCAAAAATTCACTTTAGTGGCAGTATTTCCCTACCTGTCCCTGCTTCTTGATATTTGTCTAGTGAATATTGGCATTTCCAATGCGACGCAAGAGTCAAATGGGTGGGTGTGACCGCTGCCATTGACTGCAAAGTAGAAATCCTCATAAATACAAAAGAAAGGTGGATTCTAGCAGTCTTGGAGGATGATGAAAGCTGTAAAGAAGTGAAGTAGCTGTTTATTAACGCCTCTTCCTTTTTGCTTTCTCGTCTGCAGCAGCATGAAAAGATACCTGCAGTTTAGGCACTAAGTAATGACCAGTGCCAGGCAAGCACCAGCCGCTGCTGTCTTGGTGTGTTTCTTGAAGGCCCGGATGGCTGAACTCCTCCGTGGGTGCAGTGGCATCCCTGTCTTTTTGATGTGAATTTTCCCTCTTACTCAGCTTTGTGGTCTTGGTGCCAGCCAGTTGCAGAACGACTCTAGTCAGAGTATCCACAGAATGATGACCCGTCTAGAGATTATCCACATATCAAACCAGCTTCCAAGCACTCAGCCACTAATGCTTTGCTTAATTTCTTAATAATGCCGAAAGTGGGAAAATTGGCTTTGAACTCCAAAAACTGTTGAGCAAAGTACAAGTGGCAAGATCAAAGGAAATATATTGAATTATGGATGCTAATGTTGGAGTAAAAACTATCCCAAGATTTAGAGGCTACAGTGACTCCCGCTTTGTTTTGCCTTTGTGTTAATATGTACAGTTGAGTTAACAGAAGTTACCTCCTATTAAAAAGGCATCTCACCTTTAATTAAAAGTGTCCTGACCTAAGAAAAAAATCAACAAAAAATGTTGATGTGTGAAGGATGATGTGGATGAAGTCAGGAGGAATGTAAAAAAGACACGAGCAAATCCAAGGCAGCTTATCAAAATGAATTCCTGTCTGATAGGGATGAGGTTTGTATAATCCAAGTGGTCGTGTTTGGATTTCAGTCCTGTGTATGTTGTTACTCTTTTGGCGTCATAGTCAAAAACTCAGATCGTGTAATTTGTTGTCACTGGGATGTGAATTCTGTGCTTTTTGGGGGAATTTCTTGCAGTTGCCGCTAAACTTTGTTCACAGACAAATGGAAATACTATCTTGGTCTTTAGTCACAGCTTGAAGAAAAATTTGTGTTGTAGAGATTCTGTGTGAGATTCTTCTGATTAAAAAAGCTTGTATTTTGAAAATAGATTACGGGTAGGATTTTTTCAAAATCCCTGTAAAAACAGTTTTCTCATTGATGTCAGTGAGGACTTGAATGCTGATTTCAGCAGGGGCAGATTTAGCTGGACAAGGACTGTCTAAAACTGACATGTATACCAGATCAAAGCTGTGCTTGTGTTTGTTCCTGAAGAACATTTAAACGCAGCTGGTGATCCCTATGCTACTAGAATTTGGGAGTGTTACCTTAGAGTGGTGGGAGAAGGGTAAACCAAGAACAAGCAATAAGCATTTTGGAGTGGGGTCTGTCTGAAAAGGCTGGTTTTTCATCTAAAATCTGACTGTAGTATTTCTCTCTCCATTTACTATGCTTGTACGAACAGCGTGACACCGTCACTGCAACAGGCTCGTGTCTGTCCTCCCAGTATGTTACCTGAAGATGGAACTAATCTTTACTCTGCTCGTGGCATTTTGTCGTTCATCCAGTCTTCCACTCGTAGGGCTTACCAGCAGGTCTTGGATGTGCTGGATGAAAACCGCAGGTGATTGGTTGTCACTGATTCTGCCAGCTTCTGCTGCTTTTTTTTTTTTCTTTTCTCCTTTTTAGTGGAGTTTGGTTTCTGTTCCCAAAATAATGAGATGAAATGATTTGCTTTTGCTTTCCTGCGCTTTCACTGTTCATAAGCAATTTAATTGTCCAAAATTCACATTTCAAAATGCTTCTGTTTCCGTCAAATATAGCATCGTCTTGGTTTCGTTCCAAATAAAAATGGGAATAGGAAGTGTTAGTCTGTGACTGCAAGGGGTTTTTTTGTTCCCAGACTGTCAGTGTCTTTTGCAACTGACATTTGACCCGGAGCCTGCAAATTTATTAGCCTTGTCTTCTGCTTTTCTGCTGGTGAGCACTGGTGCAGATCAATAAGATTGGGTTGATGATGTCATGAAGCGTTAAAAGAAACGTGCAGAAGCAGGGTGGAATGTTACGCAGGGCACTGCACACGCCTCGCGCTGATGAGGTGTCACGGCTTCAGGCCATTTGTACCGGGAATAGTTTTCCCTGGTGGAGGGGCGACTGACTTGGGGACTGGGGGTACTGGTTGAT